GATACGAACTAGGGACAGCTTTATTAATGGTAAAAAGTTCCGCACAGCTGCTTTAAATTTATAAAGTGGTAATATGTGTGTGTGTTTACAGCTCCATGCACTGGCTGAACGTAACCAAAATTAATGATTGCTGTTTTCATGTGGCATTTCCTTTAATATTTAGTAGGGGTGGGAATCACGATATGGGTCAATGATACAATATTATCACGACACTTAAGTCACAATACAATTTTATTGAGATTTTTAATATGCAATGTAATGCTGAGTAATGCGATAAAATAACTCGTGATTTGTTAGCTTTTTTAAACAGTAAATTATGTCCAGAGAGGAAAACTTTGTCAACATCTGTTTCAGGTTCAGTCTGTTCATCTCACCGCAGCCATTTTTTTGCAGCAGTAAAATGTATCTACTGGACTGAAAAAGCAACTGATTATATTACTCTAGTTTGTATTTGTCACATATGTCATTAATTTAATTAAAAAAGTCAATACTTGGCACTGTGTTATTGCCACACTGTTATTGCTAACCCTAACCCAGCCCTAATATTTAGACGATCGTAGTTAAATCTCATGTCGGGAGGCAAATTTAAACTTTATCAGTCTTCATATGACCTCATTAATAGTTAAATGCCATATTATTTTCCCAGTGAAATGCTGGTTGTATATAAACTTCGTCTTTTTAGTATCCAGAAATCATCCTGACACCTTTGCATCACTTTACAGTAGCTGTTTTTCTCAGTGAAGACAGTTTTTAAATAGCACTGGAGGTTTTAACAAGAATACAGAAGGCAAACAGTTCAGCAGTTTTTATGGGAGATGATTTTTTTTTTCTCAGCACAAATGTCAACACTCGTCATCATTTTACTTTCATGCAGTGAGTTAATTAGCCGTGCGATATTTTCTGTGAAACCCTGAAAACACGTGTAAGATATTCTGTATCTGACTCCAGTCGGCTGAACATGGATGAATCCTTATGAGAGCTGCGGCTAATTATTGTTCTAATTGTCCATTTATCTCTACAGATTGCTTTTTCAATTACTTCATTTGTTGTATGAAATTACTGAAAACAATCCTGTCAATCTCCTAATAAGGACAGCTCTTGATGTATATTAAACGGGAATAGATTTTCCTGACCTTTTGACTGCACAGCCAGAGTCATGTAGTGGGCAGAGTAGTGCTTCTTCCAGAAGGCGCGCAGCCTCTTATAGACATTGATCTTCTTCTTCTTTGGCTCCTGCTTCAGCGTCTGGGCATTCCCTGGTGTTGTCACAAGTGAGCAATCAATTCAGCACAACTATAAAACACTGTAGAAAAACGGTTTATAAATGCAGGGATATCAGCAAGAAAGAAAAACTTGGTGTCTGTCTCAGCACTCCTGTTTGTTATTCCTGAACATACCCCAAGGAGGCCCTGTGTGTATTACGTGTCCCAGCGGTTGTGTTTACCAACTCACCCCAGCAGAACTTGCCCATAGGGTGTCCAGGTTTGGCCAAACTGCCAAACAGCATTTCCTTCCTGTGGGAGTCCGACGGCTTAGCCAGCTGGTACTCTGACAGACAGAAGGAGAGACAGAAAAACTTGAGACGACAGAGAAAGACGGTGATCAATGGTGTGCAAGAGCTGCCTGAGGAGAACTCAGCAATGCGGCTGATGAAAAGCTTAAGTCCAAGTAAGACAGCTGAAATTTAACTTCTCAGCACGGAGGGGCGATGCACAGAGGCACCTTGACTCACCGCTGTCGACGGCCTCCACCTCCCTGTCAATGGCGTCTCGGATCATCAGGGGGCAGATGAAGAACTGGGCCCACCTGAGAGGGTGACGGGACAGAGAGGCTATAATCAGAGGCCACGTACCAGCCAGGGAGAGCGCACACAGGTCAGACAGAGACAATCAGATGTAGACAGATGCACACAACAGACAACAGCAGGACAGCGGGCGGCTGATTGAGCCTGTAATGTTTGTCCGACTCTGTTAGTTCAAATCAAGAGCTGGTGTTGCATCATATCCTGTGTGACTCATCAGATTCTGGGACATGAAGAAGAGTTTCAGCTGTTTTACCAAAGTTAACATTTTTTTGTTATCATACTTCTATCTGTCTATCAAATACTTTATTTTGGTTTAACAACTCCTTTTCGAAACTCATGTCATGGATTTTCTCCATAAATAAATACATAAATAAATAATATAAACACTTCTATCAAATTCATGGGACCTTGCAAAATTCTACAGCTCGACTCCCACGACTGAATACTTTTTTTAGTTATGAATTTTTGAAGTTTGGCCCTTGGAGCTAAATTTCGTCATTCTTGCGGACATAATCTGAGCCTCATCGAGTGCTTATTTTTCATTGGATTGGGTTGAAATTTGTATCCAACATCCAAGAAACCAGAAGGATAATTTGCAACATGTTTTCTTGTAAATAGTTGCTGCTGAATGTTTTACATAAATCAAATAAAAACACATCACCTGTCGAAAAATCTTCGACAAAGTATACCCAATATATTCAGAACATTCTCCTGGGTGCTCTCAGTATCATCTAGAGCAGGGGTGTCAAATTCATTTTAGTTCATGGGCCACATACAGCCTAATTTGATCTCAAGTGGGCCAGACCAGTAAAACCACTTCATAATACCCTATAAATAAACCCCCCCTCAAAATGTTCCTTTTTTTAGTGTAAAGAAATACGTTCTGAAAATGTTCATCCATTTACAAATCAAAATGATGAACAGACTGCGATATCCTAAGAAAAATATGTGCAAATTCAACAGTATATTTCAGTCTCACTTTCATTACATGGGCATTTTTGTCATCATTTTCAACTCCTACTAAAGTGGAAGCCGATGAAGAAGCAGGTTAAGTCGTCCCCTGCCTTACAAACCATGTACAATCTGAAGTTTTGTCAGTGCCTCAGCAGCAGGGTTCCACCCATTTTGTTTTAAGATAGAAGTCTGATACAGATTCTTTTGTACTGAAGCTGCTGGTCAACAATATTTTGCACAATGTTCAATATCTTTAAATATTAAAGTGATTATTATTATTTCAGAGAGTTGTACTCTGGTCAGGGTGGAAAAGCCTCTGAGGCAGCACATGAAGTATCTACTCACTGTTTAAATCTGACACCTCTTAGCCTTTACAAGTGCATCAATATCAGGTGTGCAAAGTCATCTAGTGGGCTGGATTGGACCTTTTGGTGGGCCGGTTCTTGCCCCTGGGATGTATGTTTGACGCCCCTGATCTAGAGTGGTTCCCAACTGGTGTGTCACGGTCCAAAAGTTGGTTGCAGGTCCATTCTGAATGAACTGCAAGTGGCTCATGAACATGTCAAGTTTGTGAAAAACAGACTTTATTTCAGATTACACAGAATATTATTCTTAATTGTGTGTGTAATTCTGAAATGGTAACATCTAATCACAACACTACTCAGGTTAAATGGAACATATGGCTTCTGAATCATCTATAGGGTAAAATATGAAGCTATGGTTAGCAGTTGGTTAGCTTAGTTTAGCTACGGCTAGCAGTTGGTAAGCTTTGTAAAGCTACGGCTAGCAGTGGGTTAGTTTAGTTTAGCTATGGCTAGCAGTTGGTAAGCTTTGTT